CCCCAAAACCCCAAAACCCCAAAACCCCAAAACCCCAAAACCCCATTCATAGTCATTATTTCGAGAAATGAAATAAAATGAATAAATATGAATAGTTGCAAAAAAGAAGAAGTTGATTGTTTATATGAAACAAAGATTATAATAATAGGCTTCCTATTTTCCTATATACGTTTTCTGCTTTTTGGATTGCAATCTCCCCTAATACCTTCATTATGCAGTCTCCTCTGGGAGTTCACTGGTCCAGAGAGTGAGGTTATCTCTGAGCAGTTGCATGATAAGGGTGGCATCCTTGTAATATTCATCCTAAACATTGTCAAGATCTGCAATAGCCTCATCGAAAGCATCTCTAGCCATTTTGCATGCCTTCTCTGGGTTTTGCATAATTTCATAGTAGAATACTGAGAAATTGAGGGCAAGTCCGAGTTTAACTGGGTGAGTGGTGGACAAGCTCTTTTAGGCGATTTCATGAGCTTCTTAATAAGAGGTAAGTGCCTTCTGAGCGGCGGCATTTCTCTTTTCAGCAACTGCATACTCAGCGATGTATCTATAGTAATCACCCTTCATTTTTTGGAAGAAAACCTAAGCCTCCTCTTGACGGCACTTGGGAATTAAGTGTTGTTCGAGCAGAGCTAGAATGTCCTGGCAAACTCTGGTGAGTTCATCCTCAATAAGGGTCTTGTAGTGCTTGACCTTTTCCACATTGCTTGCATTTCCCTTATTGTTCTCCTTCTTTTCAATAGATGAAAGAACTCGCCAGGCTGCTCTACGGGTTCCAACCACGTTTTTGAAAGCAACTGATAGGATGTTACGCTCCTCAAGTGACAACTCCTCACTACCTGCTTTTGCGAAGTCTGAAGCGTATTCTACCATCTCATCATAGCGCTCGCATTATTCTGCTAAACGTGCCAAATAAAGTAATTCCTCTCTTGTGTGCTTGGTGGCCATAGTTTTCAAATTTCAAATACAATTATTATTATTATTTTCTCACTTTGACTTTATTATTGGCATCAGGGGTTTTGGGGTTTTGGGGTTTTGGGG